CAAGAGATCGGTGAGGGCAGGGCTGCATCCTGATGTGGGACCCTCAGGGATGGTGGATGGTGCAAGTGTACCCCCACACTGGCATTCACCCTCTCTCCACAGGCGATTTCTTCCGGGGGCTGTGGGGCCCTCGTGCCGGCTGGGCACAGGCAGTGAGTACCCCAGATCCTGGCACCCTTACCCCCCACCCCAGCCATGCCCACCCCATTATCTCCCCATTCCAGGTCCTGTTCTGTGCTGACCTCCGCAAAGGCCAGAAGTCAGCCGGCAGCCAGCATCAGGCCTGGGAGAGCTGAGGCTGGGACAGCCATGGGGGTGGGCCCCTTTAAGGACACCCCAAAAGGAACAGTGACTTGAGTGGGACACTGCACCTGCTGCCAGCCTGGCATGGAGGGGTGTGGACAGCTGCCTGTCACCTGTCCACTGTGTGCCTGGGGGAAGCTGGGGGTCAGGGCTGTGTCCAGCTCCCTCAGTGCAGAGCTGAGCCAAGCACCTTTGGCCTCTTGCCTTTATTACAAGCAATAAAATAGAAACATCCATTTGGAAAATTGTCCTTGAACATGCTGGGGTTTGGAGGTGTGGGACAGTGCCAGGCCAGGCGTGGAGGGAGGGAAGGGGTATGGGAAGGGGCCCGGGACAAAGCCCCAAGCTGGGGGGCTCTGTGGTGTGCTCCTGCCCTGATGCAGAACTCTGCTGTGAGGCTGCAGTGGGGGCATATCCTCACATATCCAGGACAAGCTGAGCAGGGTGCCTCCACACTATCTCCCCTGCTCCTGCACGGCAGAGTCCCCCACCCTACACGGTGCCCATGGGGGGCTGGACCCCCCTGGAGGCAGTTCTGTGGGGCCATGCTCAGTCTGGTGGGAGACGCTGAGCTCTGCTTGTGGGTGGGCGCCCACACTCTGACCCTGCAAGGAGGAACAGGGTGAGATCCTGGTGGCAGCCCCAAGGGGTGTGGGATGGGGATAGGGGGTTTGGGGCTCACCATTGCTGGTCCCCCCAACCAGCCGTTCGCCGGGGCTGGTGGGAGTCGTCTGCCCAGGGACATCCTGGCTGGTTCCCAGCTGCAGTTTTCTCATGTGTCTCACCACCGCCGTGGCATTGAAAGCTTGCTACTGACCCCACAGTTTCCGTCAGCTGGTATGGAGTGCCTGAGGGGCTGCTGCACCCCCTAGCACCCACCAGCACCCACACTCACCTTCCACTTGCTCTTTGCAAAATTCTTCTTGATCTGCTCACTCACTGACTGGTGGATGTTCTTGTCCAGGGCTGTGTCCCCAGCAATCCTAGAGCAATGCAGAATTCAGCAGGGGCCCCCCCTACCCCACAGCTGCTGTGGGGTGAGCTGGAGAGGGGGGCAGACAGCAAAAGTCTCCCCATTACCAGGGATGCTGCAGGGCTTGCTCACAGGTGAATCGCTTGCCAGGGTCCTTCTCCATCAGGTGCTGGATAAAGTCCTTGGCTGGGACAGAGCATGGAGCAGCTCTGAGTGCCTGTGTCCACCATTCCTCTGGGTACTATGAAGCTGCACCACTGCCCCACTGCCCTGGTGCTCCCAGCTCACCTGAGTCCGAGATATCGTCCCAGTAGGGTGAGTCAAACTCATACTCGGCCCGCAGGATCTGCTCAAAGAGCTTGGCATCGTTTTCATCATAGAAAGGGGGGTAACCACAGAGCCTAGAGGGGCAGTGGGGAGGGGGCTGCTGGTCCCAAGCAGCCCCAAGGTGCCAGGCCCCCAGGAAGGAAAAGGAGTGGGAAGGGGGATACATACAGGATGTAGGCAATGACTCCGATGGACCAGCAATCCACTGCTTTGCTGTAGGGTTTCTGTGCCAGCACCTCAGGGGCTGGGGGGGAGGGCAGCGGTGAGGGGGGAGCCCAACCTGTGGGGGAATCCCAACCCCACACCTAGGGTGGTGGCAGGCCATGGTAGGCGCTCACCCACATAGCCAGGGGTGCCACAGGCTGTGGACATGACACTGCCACAGCCCTCGATCTTTGACAGCCCAAAGTCGCTGATCATGATCTTGGAGTCCTCATCCATGCTGTAATAGAGCAGGTTCTCGGGCTGCGAGGAAGGTAGAGGCAGGAGTGACACTGGGGTCTCCTCCTGCCACCACCATGACAGTGCTGTGTGTGTCCCCCCTCAACACTGCTCACCTTCAGGTCACGGTGGACGATACCCATGTCATGCAGGTATTTGACAGCATCAAGGATCTGTCGGATCAGGGCACTGGCGTCCCGCTCAGTGTAGAAGCCCTTCTCCACAATGCGGTCAAAGAGTTCTCCCCCCGAGACCCTGCAGGGATGGGCATCACCCGTCAGCATGGCCCCCCCAACCCCTCTGGAGCCCCCGAACGTCACTCACAGCTGCATGATGAGGTAGAGGTGGGTGCCACTCTCGTAGATGTCGTCCAAGGCCACAATGTTGGGGTGCTTGATTCTGCAGGGGGAGGCACAGAGGGGTGGTGAGAGGGCACCAGGCTGCCCCGACAGCAGCCCCCAGGGGACAGGGAGCAGCCAGGCTCTGTTCCACAGGTCATCACGTGCCACTGGCTATTTTGGGCACTGGCAATAACATGTGGTAAGGAGCACTGGCAGTGGGGGGCTGTGCTGGGTGTGGGTGTAGGTGTGGGTGTGGGGGCCCCAGAGTGAAACCCCCACCCTGGCGCTGGGACAGCCCCTACTTGTGGAGGACGGCAATCTCGTTCTCAATGCTGGTCTCCTTTCCCTCCAGTGCCTTCTTGGCAATGCACTTGATGGCCACGAGCTTCCGCGTCGCCTTCTCCTCTGCCAGGACCACCTCGGAGAAGGCCCCCCTGGGGGGGGTGAGGGATAAGCAGGGCACGGGGGCCACCAGCCAGAGCTGCCGATGCCGCCATGCCATGATTGTCATGGCGACAGGCAGAAAGTCCAGCTATTTATAGGAGAAAAGCAAGCAGGAGTGGCCTGCTGGGATGGCCAGACAGGGACCCTGCCAGCGATAGGATGCCTGGCATCGTCCGCCCTCCCAGTGCGGTTGCACTATCCCCATATCAGGCAGGATAAGGCTGTGGTGCTGCCGAGGTCGAGCTGTGCTTGGGCTGAGCCCCCATGTGGGTTGCAGTAGCCCTCTGCTGTGCCACCCTGTAGCAGCCATGGCCACCCAGGAGCCAACCAGAACCCTTGGCAGTGCCCAGGTGGGGAAGAGACAGGAGTGACAGGCTGTGTGTTTCACTGGGCCCTAAGCCTTGACGTAATTAACCTGCTAATCCAGTCTAAGAGCATTACGGTGCCGTGGGCACCACCAGAAACCCCTCTGCCAGCCAGGAGACCACCCTCAGGTACCCACAGCATAGGGAACAAGCGCCAGAGTGAGGTGGCACCTGTGCTCCATAGCATGTCCCCTGATATGCAAGTCCCACCTTGGGCCGGGATTTGAGCTGGTTCCACATGGCAGGTCACTGCCACATGGCAAAGCCTGAGGGGCCAGACCCATCACTAGGAGTGGGCTGTCGCTGGCGTGTCACCCCAGTCCACAACTCACGTGCCCAAGACATCTCGGAAATCATAGATCCGCTGAATATCCTCGATCCTCTTCTTCCAGCTGGGTCCATCCTGCCCCAGCGGCATGGTGCCCTGTGGGCACTCCCACCTGTGACACGAGTGGGGGACAGGTTGTCAGCGTGCTGGGATGGCACGGGGACACACGGGGGACAGGATGCTGGGGCATCGTGGGGTGATGGGAACAATCCGTGTCGACGCAGGAGTTTTGGCGTAGATTGCCCCAGTGGGGAAACATGCTGGGACCCTCCCGATGCCCGCCCATGGGGCGGGTGCGGGGCGGGCAGGCAGCAGGAGGGCTCCAGACACACGCGTAGGTGCATGGGGGGGTCCCCACCGCCATTCCCCACGCCCCCTAGCCTGCACAGCCGCGCCGGGCGGGACACGCGTGGGAGNACCCCTCCAGCCCCTTCCCCTCCCCACTCCCTCAAGACCACCCGTGGGGGCTGGACCTCCCCCTGCTCCGCATCACAGAGAAGGATAGGGGACCGTGAGAACCGCACCATAACATCTGGCCCCTGCAGCGACCTGGCTGATGTCACCCGAATAACAGGGGAGTGCAGGGAGGACACGGGAGTGGAAGCCACCAGCCGGGGTCGGGGTGTTGAAGGGAGGGACCTCCGCAACTCCACACGGTGCCCAGCTTCAGTCAGTGACAGCCCCAGACAGGGAGGGGACAGCAGCTGGGCTCCTTCATCAGAGCAGGGAGGCTGAGCAGACTCAGGGCATGGGTGAGGTTGTGCCGGTTCCATCCCGTGGTGACAGGGCTCAGGCAGGGCAGCACCCTGCAGGTGAGGTCCACACAGAGTGGGGGGTCCTTGGTCCCTGCTACCCATCCAGCAGCTTGAGGATGCTCTCCCGCTCCTTCAGGGTCTTCCAGGCCTGGTCCTTCTCCTTTTTGGTGGGTGTGCGCTTCTTCTGCCGGGCAGCCATGATCTTGCGGAATGCATCCATCACCTCGTTGTCAGCCATGCGGACACGCTGCCGCAGCTCCTGCCGGTGCAGTTCCTCCTTGGCCAGCCTGGGGGGTACAGGAGGATGTCAGGCCCTGCTGGGCAGCCCCCTGCCCACACCTATCCCTGCCCGCTTGCTCTCACCGCAGCAGCTCGTGCTTCTTGGTGCGGTTGTGTGCGCTGAGTGCCTTCAGCTCTGCCTGCCTCTTGCGTAACTCAGCCAACACCTCGTCCTCTGAGTCCTCAGCTGGACGGTCCTCTGACTCCAGCAGGCCCTGGGCCACCAGCTCCTCCTTGATGCGCCCCTCCAGTGACTTGGTGTGGGGGACACTGCCAGGGTGGAGAGTGGCTGCTGCCCACCACACGCTCTTTGCTCCCTGGGATTCACAGTGGCAGGGAGCCAGCAGCGTGTTCGGTGCACGCAGGGGCACTGCTGAGCTCTGGGCCCGCCACAGCTGCTCACCTGAAGGGCTTGTTCTGGCTGCGGGGAGATGTGCCAGCACCGTCAGCTCCCGAGTCCTTGCCAGTGATCTCAGGGATTGGGGAGTCCTCAACAGGGGAGATGATGTTCTCCTAGCAAAGGGAGCACGAGGGAAGGGTTACGGTGCTGGGTCTTGGCAGCAGTGCCCCATAGTGCCAGGCCACCATGGCATGGGGTCGGTGGAGCACCTCACCTCCACAAGGGCCTGCAGGAGACGTTGTGTCAGGGGACCAAAGGGACACCCATCCTCTGGCTGCTCATGCTGGGCTTCTGACTTCTTCAGGAGAGCATCAACATCTAGGAGGAAGCAGGAGAGGGAAAAAGCACCCCCAAAGGCAGAGAGATGAGCAGCGGGGCAGTGCAGCCTTTCTTCGGTGTGGCTGCACTGGGCACAAGCACTCCCAGCCCTTCTGGGCAAAGGCAGGGGTGGGACTGGGGTACCTTTAGTGTCCAGCTCAGTCAGTGGCCCCAGAACACCTTTCTTCTTGTCAGCAGCAGCTGCTGCCCGGGCTCCATCCTTCTGCTCCTCCAGCAGGTCCTCTTGTGCCCAGCGCTGGGAGTAATGCTTCCCCAGAGGTGGAATCTGCAAGAGCAAGGCTCAGCACAGCTCCTGGAGCCTCTGCCTTGCCTCCCACCTCCCCAGTGCCACAGCAGCATCCCAGGCAGGAACAGTCACTGTGAAGTGCCAGAGGGGATGGGGAGAGAGGGCAGAGGAAGGGCTTAGGAGCTTTTCACCTTGTAATGCTCAGCCTCATCCTCCGGTGGCTTGAGCAGCTCTTCCAGGACTCTGACCTCCTCGTTGGTGAGATCGGCACAGTACGGCTCCACCGATGCCCAGAACCTGCAAGGATGTACAAACTGTGAGAGGGATGTGTCACCTTCCACATGCTGCAGGGGAGCATGTGGAAGGTGACACATGTCCCCTTACCCCTGTGGCCCCTCTTCTCTCACGCTAGAGGCAGCCCTTGTGCTATGTGCTCCAAGGAAGGAGAAAGATGATCCAAATACTTCCCAACACCCACACACCTATTTGGAGCATCATTTTTGGGGATGCGGGGCACATCAATGGGATCATCCTGGAACTCATATTCCTGGATCTTGGGTTGCAGGTTCTTGGACTTGGGCCGGCCAGGCCCAGGCCCAGTCCCATGGCCCCCTTTGCCCTCCAGCTTCTGCTTCTTGGGCTTCCCATGTTTTACAGATGTGCCCACATCGTGGTCCTTGTTCAGCTTCAGGAACCGCCGGTCACCCTTCTTATCCTGCCAGTCTGTCAGAATCTGGAAGAAAGTGATCTACCATAAGGTCCTGTGCCCAGTGCTGGGCAGGAGCAGATCAGAAGCAGCCCCTTGGTAGGAAGGAGCCAGACAGAGAGTCTGTCCCTGACCCATTATGGCCCCGGCACCTGTGTCTCAGCCTCCAGGACGCGAAGGCGGCGGCTGGCAGAGGACAGCAGCGTTTCCAGCTCCAGCTGCAGCGTGTCCAGCTCCTCGATGCCGATGCCATCGTCCTCCGAGCGGGCCAGCACGGCCGTGTACCGGGGGCACACTTTCACGTGGTCCACCGACTTGAAGTCATGGAACTGCAGCGGGCAGTCCTTCAGCTCGCTCATGGCGGTGGGGACCGGGCACCGAGTGGACTCTGGGGGACCGACGGGCGCACGGGGGAGCCGGGGACAGGGGAAGCCGGGAGGGAAGGGAGTGGAGTGGGGGNTGCCACCATGGTAGGGCGGGGGGCTCGCTGTGAGGGGCCGTGGTAGCGGGGAGGCTGGGGAGGGTCGGAATCGGGGCCGGCGGAGTGAGAGGGGCTGAGGGGACGGCGGGTTGCAGGTCGGGGGCTGGGGCAAAGGCCGAGACCTGACCCCCGGGCTCCGTTCGGGGGTCTGACGCCGCCGCCGTGTCCCCGCAGACTGCCACGCTGCGCCCGTACCTGAACGCGGTGCGCGCCACGCTGCAGGCCGCGCTGTGCCTGGAGAACTTCTCCTCGCAAGTGGTGGAGCGGCACAACAAGCCCGAGGTGGAAGTCAGGTATGGGGGCGGGAGGAGACACCAGGGGAGCCCTGCGGAGCCCTGGTTGCCCACCTTGGGGGCCGCTGGCCCGTTCTTGCCGTGCACTGGGCACCCCCCAGCCCTTAGGCACGGGGCCGGTGGCGGCAGGGAGCCGGGGAGCTGCGGGAAGGAGGAAGGGGATCTAGCTTGAGACTGAGGGAGCATCTGCTCTGAGGAGGAACATCTTCGGAATGCAGGAGCATCCTGTAGCAAAGCCCCCACATCCCCATGATCCCTGCGGCTCCCCTTCCCTGTTTCCCACCAGTAAATGCTTCATTCTGAGTCACTCCTGCCCTCCCTCTGTTCGCAGGAGCAGCAAAGAGCTGCTGTTACAGCCGGTGATCATCAGCAGGAACGAGAAGGAGAAGGTCCTCATCGAGGGCTCCATTAACTCTGTGCGCGTCAGCATCGCGGTGAAGCAGGTGAGGGGGGGTTTGGGCAGGGGGCTGGCAGCTCAGCCTGTGGGGAAGCCTCACTTCCCTTTTCTCTCTCCAGGCTGATGAGATCGAGAAGATCTTATGCCACAAATTCATGCGCTTTATGATGATGAGGGCTGAGAACTTCTTTATTCTGCGCAGGAAGCCCGTGGAGGTGAGGTGACAGGGAGAGGACAAAGCAACTCCTGGCTCCACTCCTGGCACTGGGAGGGTGTCCAGTGCATGTGAGTTTGCATGGCCAACAGTTTCGGTGCTAAACCCTCTGGTGCTTCTCTCTTGTACAGGGTTATGACATCAGCTTCTTGATCACAAACTTCCACACGGAGCAGATGTACAAGCACAAGCTAGTGGACTTTGTCATCCACTTCATGGAAGAGATCGACAAGGAAATCAGTGAGATGAAACTCTCTGTCAATGCGAGGGCCCGCATCGTGGCAGAGGAGTTCCTTAAGAATGTGAGGCTCTGAAATGGGAGGAGGGGTCTCTGATTTGGGGAGTGGGGTGTGAGGTCAAAGCCAGTGTGGCCCTTGTGCCCAGAGCCCCCCTGTCCCATTAGTAAGGACAAGCTGACATCCTGCCCAAGGAACTTCTTGGACACAGGGAGAAGAGGATGCCAAAGGCACTTGCATCCCATTTGCTCATGAAGTGCCACCTTTTGAGACCCCTAGAGCTTGCTCAGTGGCAGCAGCAGCCTTGGGTGGATGAGATCCTTTTGGTGGGTGCTGAGATGGATGTGCAGTGCCTGGGGAGGCAGAGTATGGATCCCTGTGAGCAGTGGCCACACTCAGCCTCCATCCCAGCTGCCGGGAGGGTGGTGAGGGTTCTCAGACCGCTCAAGCAGGGACTAACAGCAGTGTGTTTTCTCTCCAGTTTTAGGCCGTGGTGCAGGACCCCGTGGCTCCCCTGTGCTTGTGCCCACCGGGCACTGTGCCTGTGCCTGCTCCCGTTTCTCGAGGACCGCTGGGTGGGGCCGGGCCCTGCCTGCCCCTCTCTGGGCTGGGCGGGAGCAGCCCCCGCTTGCGGCAGAGCGGCCCCAGCCGCTGCCCCTGTCTCGTCTTGTTTTTTAAACAGTCTTGTTTGCTGTATCTGCTGCCTCCGTCTCCTCCCTCCCGCCGCTCTGGGCCACACCAGGGGATGGGGGGGGGAGGGCATTGTGGCCCTGGGGGGCAGATGATGGAATGGGAGTAGGACATGGAACTGTATGGGCACAGTGTGGCAACAGCAAACAGTGGGGTCAGCCCTGATGGTGAGGAGCCGTGGGGAGTGTCAGGAGAGCATGAAAGGACTTGAAGTCAGCCTGGGGGCAGCAAGGGGCTTGGGGTGTGGGGCACAGAAGGATTTTGGGAAGGGTGTGAGGTTTGGCTGGCTGTGGGCATGTTTGTGTCCCCCCTTCTGTACAGTGGAGCCATTGTGGTGGTGGCTGGAGCTGGGGGCTGTGACATCACAGTGGTGCTGGGGTTGGTAGAACCACATCTTGCATTCTGACATTTGTGGTACTGGGGTTTAGAGCCCATGTCCTGTGCTGGACTCCGACTTCAGTCCCCCGCAGGACAGGGGAATAGAACAACCAGATTAGCACAGAGAGGAAGAGCCACCCACAGCTCCCCTCGCTCTCAATCTACCATGGGACAATGTGACACAGAGAGCAGCACTCCAGGCACACCCCACCCCAGACAGGGACAGCACTTGAGCAGGGTACACTCCAGCCACCCCACGGCCCAGCAGGCTGGGGACAAGGGCACAGTGTGGCATCCTGGGACTGTGAGGTGCAGCTGGGACATTGACACGAGGCTCAGCAGGTCAGAGACTGCCCTTTCAAGGGCCCGAGGTTTGGTCAGTCAGAGGAAGGCAGGTCAGTGTTTTCTACCTCTCCAGGGCCGTGGCAGCCCCTGTGGGACTGGGGACAGTGGGCTCAGACAAGGCTGTCCTCACAGGGCACTCAGCAGCCACCACCAGACACCAGGTTGGCCACCAGCACTTGCTTAACCTTGAGCAGCTCAAAAAGGCCAAGCTGCATGTGGAGATGGCCATTAAGGTGAGGGACCTGATTTTACACCCTACAAATGCCACTTGCTTGCATTTATTGTATTTCTGGCTCAGGAGAGGTGAGCCAGAGGAACCAGGACTGGGGCAGGCTGAGCCCACTGGTCTCTGCACAGGAGAAGAAGATCTTCACAGTACAGGGCCCCTACCCCATCATCCGGCGCCTGATGCGAGCCCGGGGCTGGGTGGAGAGGAAGGTCCCCAGCACAGGCAGACGGATGGTGAAGCATCGTGGTGACCAAGACAAGCAGCAGCAGGAGACAGGGCCAAGTAATGGTGGTGGTGGGCAGGAGGAGGCACTGCTGAACCCAGGTGGGGGGGCACAGCCTTTTCTGGGGACCAAACACCCCCCGCACTACCCATGGCGACCTGCTGAGGAGGAGGAAGAGAAGGAGGAAGAGCAGTGTGATGAGGACCCCAACGGCATCCATGACCTCATGGTTAGCAGAGGGCTGGGGCTGAGCTCTGCCACTGCCCCCACACCCTTCCCCTGGGACCCCAAGCATGGGTGCACAGCCTTGGACAGGGGATGAGGGTGGGATGGGGGCTCTGTGTCCCACCCGAGTTTCCTTCCTCCACCAGTCCTACCTGGTGCGGGACCAGTTGCCAAACTTCATCTGGACCAACTTCCTTGAGGCCACTGACCGTCAGCTGCTGCAGCAGGACAACGTGGTGAACCACTATGCCCGGGTGGATGCATTCACCACCAAGGTGGGAGGCTGGAGCCCTTGGGGAGGGGGATGAGGTCCAGTAGGAACTGACAACCTCCTCTAAACAGGAGGGGCTGTGCCTCAGCCTACAAAACCTGCCATGGATTGAGCAAGCTGACCCAAACACCTTCTTCCCCCGGTGCTACCGGCTGGGGAACGTGGATGAGCGCGAAACTTTCATTGGTGAGCTGAAGGCTGTTGCCCTCCTGTCCCTCCTTGTGCTCCCACTGCTCCAATGTCCTGTGCAGGACTGGCTAGGGATGATGCCTCCCTCTTGCAGAGGATTTCCGCCTGACAGCAGCACGAAGCCTGCTCAAATTGGCCCTGGAGGAGGCTGGGGACAGGCCAGTGGGGACTGAGCAGGTCCCAAACAATGCCAAGGGAGCAGGTGAGTACATGGAGGTGACATCACCTGGGGGTGATGGCAGAGAGTAGAGACAAATGATGCCTGAGCTTGGAGGCATAGCCACTGCTCATGGTTGTGGCCTGGGATCCCTCACTCCCTCCTGCTTGCCCACCTTATGGGTGCTCTGCGCTCCACCCCATCCCCATGCACCCAAAGCTACCCATCCCACAGAGAAGCTCTGGCCCCAAGGCTGGCATAGGAGTCGTGTCTCTCACCCCAAGCATTCCACAGCATGGCCAGCCTCCCCCCTGTACCCTGAGCTGGTGGAGGAAGCCCTGGAGGTCTGTAGGCAGCACCTGGGCGTTCTGCAGCACCAGGACATCGACAGGAACACCCCGTCCCCCTGCAAGACATGCATTGACTGGGACCGCTTCCTGCACGAATACTACCACGTGGCACAGTGAGTGCTGAGTGGGATGGGGGGCACCATGGCAAGGCTGGTGCCGACGGCCTCTTCCTCCCCACAGCAAGGGGGCAGGGCTGGTGCTGACCCGGCAGCAGCGGAAGCAATGCCAGAACCTGCTGTGGCGCCTGGCACAGCAGCTGCCCCAGCTTGACATGGAGGGCAAGCTCAACGTCTGGATCCTCAAGCCTGGTGCTGAATCCCAAGGCAGGGGTAAGGCTGGGGGAAGCGGGGAGCACACAGAAGCTCCCCATTTAGGAGGGATCCCACAGTCACTGTGTTCCCCAGGCATCATCTGCACAACGCAGCTGGAGGAGGTGCTGCAGCTGGCACGGAGCTGCATGGCACCCTCTGACCCAGCCACACTTTCCCTGCCCTAGTGCCAGGCACCTCTGCAACGTCTCTGTCCAGAAGTGGTACAAGACATCACCAGACCAGGACCCCCGTGTGCCCCCTGACAGGATCTGGTCCAACGAGCAGTTCCAGAAATACCTGGCACAGCTGGGGCAGGCAGATGCTTGGCACCAGATGCTGGTGCCCGGCATGAAGGCGGCGATCCTGAACACGCTGCGCAGCGCCCAGAACCAGGTGCGCTTCCGCAAGGGCAGCTTCGAGCTCTATGGGGCCGACTTTATTGTCGGGGAGGACTTCCAGCCCTGGCTGCTGGAGATCAACTCCTGCCCCACCATGAGCCCCTCCTCGGTGGTGACCCGACGGCTCTGTGCCAACGTCCAGCGGGACACGCTGCGCCTCGTGCTCGACCGCAAGGACAACCCCACCTGTCCCATTGGAGCGTTTGAGCTCATCTACAAGGAGGTAGGCTGAGGGGATGGGGGGCAGACACCCCCCAGGCACACTGAGCCCCCCACTCCCTGCTGTCTCCCTGCAGGCAGCTGTGCCCAAGCCCCTGTCAACACGTGTGAACCTGATGGTCAAAGGCTGTTCCCTGAAGAAGCTCCACCCAGCACAGCAGCAAGACCAGAACAAGCCCCCCACCACTGTGGCCACTGCCCTCCATCACGCTCTGTCCCCAGGGCCCAGCGCTACCCATATACCCAAGAAAGCACAGCATCAATTCCTCACCATGGTGCCTTGTGTCCCCAAGCTCCTCCTGTCACCAGGGGTCAGAACCACCAAGGCTCCCCAGAGAACATGGCATCGCTCTCCTACCACGATGCCCACTGCCTCCAAGCAGTCTGTGTTGCCAGGGGGCAGAACCACCCAGGTAACCCAGCCCAGAGCAGCAACAAAGAAGCTGCCTCCTCTGGAGCAACAGAACCACTGCTCTTCCTCCAGCTCTGACCCCCCAGCACCACCAAAGCCTCAGGTCTCCTCTGCTGAGAGCCAGGGTCTGCCATGGCTCGGTTGCCTGCCTGCACAGCTCCGGATCAATGGCTGTCCCATGAACTGGGTGCCTGTGCCACCACCCCGGGGAACCCCCAGCAAACCCTGGCTATCCCAGGGTTGTGCACGCTCCTTCCATCCCGCCAAGCCCCAGCGACAACCTCCGTCTGCACAGAGCACCAAGACCCTGTGCCTGGAGCAGGAGCACGTGGCAGCTCCCACTGGGATGCAGAAGACTTGGGACACTAAGACACCCCCAGGAGTGGACAGAGCTCCACCTGTCCTTTGTTAGGCCAACACTGCAGCACTTCTCATCCCAAAGAGTTCCCACTGCTGTGTTGTGGTACCCACCTCCTCCCTCATGCGTGCTTTAAAATAATTCTGTGATAAGGAGTCTGTCTCAGACCTTCTGTGCATGAGAGCTGTGGAGAGAGCTAGGTCTGCCCCTGGAATGGGGCTGTGGGTGGGAACTGGGGCTGCCAGGGCAGAGAGCAGGCAGGAAAAGCTGCCTCTGCTTCTGCCTGTGGTCGCCCCTGCAAGACAGCTGCGGTGGGTGATGACAGTGCTGCATTCTAGCACTTGGAACCAGGGCAGGCAGAGAGTGGTGGCAGGGCTGGTGCCCCCACCAATGCCAGACAGACAGCCAGGAAAAACGCATCCTCTGTGTGCCAAGAAAAGAACTGAGTGTTGAGCCACCCAGGCAGCAGGGGTGGATTTTAATGGGGTGGCAGAGAGCAGAAGGGTGAAGTGGCTGTCCCCCTGCAGCATTAGGGCTCCTAGCGCTCAGGCAGCCCCAGGCAATGCAGAGTGTGCAGAAAGTAGGGTGGAGGGGGGGCACAGAGGGGACCCTCAGGCAGCACTAGCTCCTGTAGGTGGATGTGGAGTGGGAGGTGAGAGAGCTGCCGTGGAGAAAGCCCCAGCTGGGACACCAACTCCTCATCCAGCACCTGCAATGTGAGTGGGCAGCTCAGTGGGATTGCTGAGGGCTGTGCTGAATGCCCTACCCAGCATCCACCCTGGCCATGTACCTGTGTGCGGGTCGGGGCAGTCTCGGGGGTCAGAAAGAAGGGCATTCCCAGCACCCTCCCCACGTGGGAAGAGTACTTATGGTCACCCAGGGCTGGGCACAGCAGCAGTGTCAGGTGCACTTGGAGCTGTTCTGGGAAGGCTGGGGAGGAACAGGGAGAAGGTGAGATTGCAGGGGTCAGGAAGCATGGCTGGGGTGGTGGAGATGTTGGGGGGCCACTCACCTGTCCTGGGCTGGAGCTGGAGGAGAGCACAGCCCCCCACGGCGCTCAGCACACGATAGCGTGTCAGGGTGCTCTTCACATCCTTCCTGGCCAGGCTGCGGCGTCCTGGGGCTGGCACCGGCACCACCTGCAGAGCACAGCCCTCAGCACTCCCTGGGGTATCATCCCTCATGCCCCCAGCCCAACGGCACCCCCTTACCATGGCTCTGTCCCCCTGCTGCTGCCAGCACAGCCCAGTGCAGATCTCACCCTCCACCTCCGCCGGGACTCCCACGGTGATGGCACTGCAGGATAAGGTGGTGAGAAGGGGACAGGACCCCCGTGCCAGCATGGCAGGGTCCCAAGGACTCACCGATACGTGACAGGGTACTGGCCTCTCAAGCGAGCATTGGTGAAGAACTGTTGGAGCTTCTTAGTGGTGTGGTAGCAGCTGGACAGGAGGACAAGGCCAGAATATTCCCTGTGGAACATGGCTGCTTGAGACTTGGTGGGCGAAAGGCAGTCCCAGCTCCACCCTAGGACCACCGGCCTGGAACCTCCTACCATACCTGGCAGGAGCTTTCACCACATGGAGCTCAGCAGCGAGGCCCAGGCGTCGTCTCAGTGCCGGCAGCAGCGCATCCAGGCTCAGGTCCCCAGGGCGCCCTGAGGAGATGCTGGTGGGTCAGCACCCACTGAGCCCCTCGTGCAGCTACCCCTACAGACCCCCCATTGCTGTCCTGTACTCACCCAGAATGGGGAGGCCCGGGGGCTTGTTCAGCGCCAGCAGGGCTCCTAATGAGGGAAAGTCTGGTCAGCAGGTACCTCCTTCACTGTCTCCCTTGTTCCCATTCTCCCCTGTCACAGGTACCTTCCCGGTGCACCACGGAGCCCTCCAACAGCCTCAGCGTCTCCTTGGGGCCCAGCAGCCGCCTCCACCTGCAGGGGATGGAGTGAGCAGGCAGACACAGGGGGGACTTCCCCCAGCCACCTCCCCTGCACGCCACTCTGCGTGTCCATAAATCTCACCCACCACTGTCTGCCCTCCTCTCCACGCGTCTCTGCGCCCTCATGCTTCCCCAGCCCCTCTGTGCTCACACATCTGCAACCCCACAGGTCCCAGTCTCATAACCTCTCTGTACCCTCGGGTACAATGGGCTCCCACCAGCCCCGACGCGTGTGCATCTCCAGGTGCCAGCACACCCCTGGGCGGGCACCCCATGTACGCCCGCCCTCTCTGCACACATAAACGCACCCCATGTTTTC